CACAATATTTTTTAAGCCATGTTTATAGAAAAGCTCCACCAAATTTAATTCTTTTTTTTAATGGAACCTTGTATACTATACTAAAATTAACAAGTTTCCTCACTAAAAATGGCTAAACTAACCAATTTATATCTTTTTATTGTTTTCATGCAATTTTTCTCTCATGTTTCAAAGTTGTATAATAACTGAAAAATAAATATAATGAATTTTTATATCACAACAAAAAAATGTTTAGAATTTGAGATTATACATATATATTTTTAGTGTTTTATATTTTAATTCTCCTTCTTTTAATTTGTTAATGTTACTATAATATCAAAACTAATTTCATAGGTTATAAGAGAATTATATTCAAAGAAAAATGTTAAAAATTGAAAAGAAGAAGAAGTTAAGTGCTTCTGTTCACATGTGAACAGTGATGAAGCTTTATCAGACAACCCTTGATGTTTAGTATAAAAGGTAATAAAAGCTCTTTTTCTTGATTATGATAGAAACGACAAGCTTAATTATGTAAATACTGATATTTCAAATTTCGATACACTTCAAATACGTACAGACATAAATATCGTTCTGTCTCATGTTTTTCTTTTCTCTAGGACCCATTTGTGCTGTTCTCTAAAGCTCGTGGACACCTGCCTTGCCTGATCTTATGAGGTGTAAGACGTTAGGGTCAAGTAGCCATGCAAACGGAGAAAGAGCTGAATAAATCTCAGCTGCCATCTCCCTTATGTGTCACTCACTCGGTTCCCTTTCTGATCTATAAATACCAACACCTCCCAGTCGCCACTTCACCTCAATCCACTAGCAACGAGCAGCCTATATCCATGCCATCCATGGCTAAAACTAATGTCCTGCTCTCCTTTTCTCTTTTTCTTGTTCTCTTCCATGGTTCCTTAGGTTTGACAGCTGATCGCTCACGTCAGCATCAAGGCCAGTGCCAGCTTGATAGGCTCAACGCCCTAAAGCCTGGTAACCGCATTAAGAGTGAAGCCGGTGAGACAGAGTCCTGGGATCCCAACCATGATCAGTTCCAATGTGCTGGTGTAGCCGTCGTCAGGAGGACCATTGAACCCAATGGCCTTTTGTTGCCATCCTATAGCAATGCTCCTCAACTTGTATACATCGTCCAAGGTAACTTCAAGATTAATTTAATTAAATACCTCTAGTTGGTTATACAGGATAGTTTTTTGTTACTCTATATTATATGTTTAGTTTTAGGACAAGCAAGAAAGATTATTATTTCGCTAATTTGTGTATGATTCTAATATTCAGGTAGGGGTATGACCGGGACCTTGATGCCTGGATGTCCTGAAACATTGCAAGAATCTCAAGAATCGCAAGGTCAAGGCAGCCGCAGGTTACAAGACCTGCACCAGAAGGTTCATCGCTTCCGAGAGGGTGATGTCATTGCTTTGCCTGCTGGAGTTGCCCACTGGTGCTACAATGACGGCAATGAGCGTGTTATTGCTGTTACTGTCCTTGATATGGCTAACAGTGCTAACCAGCTAGATGACATGAATCCTAGAGTAAGACTCAAATCATTTTTATTCATGGTAACTAGATCCACCAAATCATTTTTCAAACACAATAGTTATTGACATTTCTAGGATTTTGTAATAGAATTTCTATCTAGCTGGTAACCCACAAGAAGAGTTCCAGCAAGTACAAGGCCAGCCACGCCACCTTGGCGAGCAGCGAACAGGGCGAGAACCATTTCGCGGCCATGGCCACCAACAATGCAACAACATCTTCTGTGGAATGGACACAAGGTTCCTTACTGAGGCTTTCAATGTTAGTGAACAAGTAGCAAGTAAGCTTCAGAGTGAGAGTGACAGAAGGGGCAACATTGTGAGGGTGAAAGGTGGACTTCAGATTGCCATGCCACCCAGTTTGAGACGAGAGGAACAAGAGCAAGGACAACGTGGAGAACATCGCAATGGCTTGGAGGAGACCATGTGCACAATGAGGATTAGAGAGAACATTGGTGACCCCTCACGTGCTGATGTGTTCACCCCAGAAGCAGGTCGCATTAGCGCTGTCAATAGCCACAATCTCCCTATCCTTCGATACATCCAACTCAGTGCCGAGAGAGGCGTTCTTTACAATGTAAGTGTGCGATATATATATATCCTCGCCAAATTTCTTTGCATGGAATTAATGCCATCCTCAAAAGAAAAATTCTTAACGTTTGTTAATTCACAGGAAGCTATGATGATGCCACATTGGAACCTGAATGCGCATAGCATAATGTACGCAATCAGGGGTCAAGCACACGTTCAGGTGGTGGATCACAGTGGTCGAACTGTGTTCGACGGCGAATTGCGCGAGGGACAAGTCTTGACAGTGCCACAAAATTTCGCTGTTGTGAAACGGTCTGATCAACAAAGTTTGGAGTGGGTATCCTTCAAGACCAATGACAATGCCATGATCTCTCCTCTGGCTGGTCGCACCTCGGCACTCCGGGCCATGCCAGCCGAAGTTCTTGCCAATGCCTTCAGAATCTCAGTAGAAGATGCAAAAAGAATCAAGTTCGGGAGGCAGGAAACCACTTTAACTAGCCACAGGTCGACTCGATCTGGAAGCTGGGCTGAGGCTTGAGTGTAGATGGGGCTACTGTTTAATCTGATGCTGCAGGCAGGCAGTATCATTTTTTTTTTTTAAGGTGGAAATAAAAAGGGGCTTTGAGGTCTCTTGTTATGTAAAGTAGAGTTTGTGCATCTACTTTCTAATAACTACTGCTGCTTGTACCTTTTTACAAGTGAGGAATGAAGTCCTGTAAGTGGCCTACCTCTGGAGCTGTTTTCTTCACTTCATGTTGCTGCTTTCTGCTTTCTTAACGTTGATTATATAGATGTGGCAGGTTTTGGTAGAGCTATAGCCATGGCTATTCTGAAGAAAGAACCTTAATATATCAGTATAGAAAGCATTGAGCTCACGAAAGGATCCATAAAAGAGGTTCCATATTCAATTTCAAAACTGCCCTGAAGCCCCAAAGCAATAGAAAACCATAATTCTAACCTCCGATTTGGTGACGGATTTAATATCTTTTTTTTTTCCTGTTGAAAACACTCAAAAACATGTAGAAACAGCCTCTAGATTTTCTGCATCAATCAATGACGAGTAAAACCCCAATTATCCCTCCGCCAGGAACAACGAGTTCAAAAGTTCATGCAGTCCTAGGACAACATAGGAAGAAAGCACGTGATGGGACGCTTTCCAGAGCTTCTATGCCATCTCATCTCACGTGCTATCTTCCTTTCCAACCATTGGCTTTGCTTTTGGAGAAGAACAGTCTCCGCAATTAAGCTTTGCATAGATGCAGGATCTTTCTTGGTAGCCGAACACGAAAGCAACGGAAGATGCTAACAGCTAAAGGTATGATAATATTTTAAAAATTAATATTACAGTTATTTTCATCTGTTCTTTAAAAAATATAATTTATATAGTTTTTTTTTAATAAATAGTCATTTCATCGGTATTAATTACCGTTTGTTTTTTTCATTTTAATTAAAATTATTCTTTTAAAAAAATTAAATTTTTTTATTTTTTACTTTAAATTAATATTTTTTAATATTTTAGA